GCAGAGCGGGGTCGGCGGATTAGGGTTAAATTAGGGTTATATTGGGGCAATATTGGGGTTGTATTGGGGTTATATTGGGATAATGGAAAATAAAATGGAAACTACTATTTAGGGCAAAAAAAACAAGGCTGCCCCTTCCTTGGCACCACCAGGCCAATGTTGTCCTCGATAGCGAACAGCAAGGCCTGCCAGAATTGTGGGCTCGACATGTCTGCTGACCACTTGCTACAGATCCAGGCATGCCAGAAGCTGAAAGGCGAACTCCTGAAAAGGGAGGCCAGCGACCATTCAAGCTCCCCCACCCGCCGTGTATGTTTTGTTGGCCTTCAAAGTGCATGCGGGCGACGGCTTCTGATGATCAAGACTGCTCGACTCGCGAAGAGAAGACTCTGCAGGTCTCCCTCCGCGACTGGATAGACAGGCGTGTTGGTCGGGTTCCTGGCTTCCCAGGATAGAGGTTGTAGTGTTCCGGGGAGTCAGGTGGAAGAGGCACCTGCAGGAGAGTCTTAGAGACGGTGCTCCGCCTGCCAAGGTGGCGAAATCGCCACAAAGATAGGCTCAAATGGACAGGTGGGAAGTCTTTACTGATCAATCCTCAGCGTGGACAGCTCCAGTGCAGCTGTGGTGCAGGTCATCATTTTTTATCGCAATGATCAGCCGGAGGTCCAGGAGGGGTTGGGGGGTCTGCGCAAGGGTAAAGGAAGATCTCTCGGGATGTCTCATTTTTAAAGGGCCTTTGCAGACCAGGGGCTCCACTTAGCAACTTAGCAAATATTTAGCTGCACACTCTGATATGTTCTGGGCATCTTGGCGGGGGCTGCCCAGAGGCCAACGGATGGGGGTTTTGATGGCCAATTTGTCCTTTTTTGGCATCATTAAAAATCCGCTGTTAGCAGTCATGTTGTGCCAGACTTACTTTGGTTTTGATGTTCCCGGCCATCGTTGCCACGCTTGCGAATTTTTGCAGAGATCCAGTGAGCTCATTGTCGTTCATTTGAGGATTACGTCCATAAGGGACTTGCACTGTAGCTGCTGTATGCGACAAACGTGGGCAGCTGAAGCGTGAATTGTCTCAAGATGATGTCCTTCCACCCAGGAGCCTGAGGTAGAAGAACCGCTGGAGGTACAATCACTGGTGATTTGCTCTTGATTTGTTGTTTCCTTTTTTGCAAGTCTTGAGCATAGAGGGCACCAACAGGGGGTATCGAGCAAATTCCTGCGAGCAGCTCTTGACATGCGAAACCACACCAAAACCACTCTATCCTCATGTGTGGGCGCCAAGTGCGTCCTTCCTTCCCTTTGCCTGTCACGGAGCATGCATCTCAGTGTCTCAGTTCTGTACAGGGAGCTGAGATCAGCCGCGAGGCTCAGGCACAGAGCTGTGTTTATCTACTGTACACAGTTGCCGCCTAATCTTTCGTAATCTGCGAAGCCCCCGTAGAAAAGACCATGTTCCATTTAACTTTCATTCTCTATTGCACAAGGTTTTCTATCAATGGAGTAAAATCCCGCATGTATCCCTAAACCCTATATAACCCTACATGTGGTATTCAGCTTTCATTCATTTTCCATGTGCTTTTCCATCTACGGGTCGGAACTTCAGGTCCTGCTTCAACAAGACCCCTAACAACAGATCTTCCTATTTCAGGACATTCCAGTATATTATCGTGCGTTCTAGTATATACTATAGTGTATTACAGTATCTCGTACGCAATACATTCCGAATATTTTTGTTATGATGCTGCACTAAACCCTAAACCCTTACCCCTGTGCACGGCAGCAGGCTTTCTTTGATGGACTACCTCCAGATGGCTTCCTGCCAGCAGAGGAGGCTTTGAGAGAGGTTGGGCCGCCTGGGATGCTGGTTAAGTTACTGGTTCTTAGTAGGGAAGGGGTTTAGGGTTCAAGGTTTACGGGCTTAGGGCTGCGGGCATGTGAGCCATCATCTAAGCTCCGTAAATGGGGGAATATAGGGGATTACATAGCGGACTACTATAGGGGTTTTTAAGGGAGATGCTAGGGGTTTAGACCATGGCTCATGTTCTCCTTCTATAACCCCTACATACTATATTCCCTTAGTCCCTACGAATAACCAGTATGTTAATCAGGTCATGTGCAAGAAGCAGCAAGAGATGCTGGCAGGTTATCCTGAATTTTTTGGAAAGCTCGGGCGACGACCCTCCCACGTTGAGAGAAGCTCAGCAGGTACCAGAGGCTTGGCGCGGCTGCGTGTATGAGGTGTATATAGCGTTTGGGGTTTAGGAATAGTGAAGAATTGGAAAAGCAATTGGCACATGACATAGGGACTCTCATCTAGTGCAGGTTTGACTGAGCAGCAAGAAGTTATGACACTTAGATGTTCCTGGCAGTTCTTCATGATGCAGAAGTGGTGCGTTTGGGCTCGAAGTTTTGGCAATTGCCTTCCTTGAACAGCGTGAAACGAGGCGCGGTTGTCTGCTTTTGGGAGATCAGGAGCTGTTAAGATGAACTTTTCCAGGCCATGCGGCAAACGCCTGGACGGATTTTGCAAAGCCTATGGCTGTTGCTTTGGGCGCAGCCCGCATTCTCGCTTCCTGGTTGACATGGGATAAGGTTCATCCAGCTAAGTGCTTCACTTGAAGCTGAGGCAACAGCTTGGGCAGATCAAGGGCCGAATCAGCATACCCCATAAGTACCAGGCGCGCTCTGATGCCATGGGTTCCGAAATGTTCCGAAGTCTGCGAATGCAGTGCAGGAAGTGATCAGTGCCGCTAGTGGCGCTGGCCTCGCGGCAACGCGGGTCATCCTGGATGGAGGCTCTCAACACGCGTTGACAACATGAGTTGCTAACTATTCTGACAAACTGGCAGGCGTGATGTCCGCGCTGCCAGCATCTGACGGGTTCCTGGGCAGAAGCGCATGCTAGAAGATGGAGTTCAGACATGCTCCGAGCCCAAAGAGCTGCAATGCAGGCACTTTGCTCTCAACGGTGTAGCTGCTGGACCCCATCTTCTGCAGGCACCTGAAGCCATCACATCATTGTTGGCTTCACTGGCTTACTGCTGGCTAATACTGTAATAGGGAACTGTACTAGGGAATCTAGGTGATGGAGGAATGGATCGCTTCTGAAGTGAAAACGGTCTCCACGACCGCCCTGCATTGTAGTCTGAATGTTTTCACAACGGTGGAAAAATGGCGTGACAAATACAAGAATCGTGCAGGGTTTGCATGCTCTTTTCTATTTGGAGCAGATGGCTTACACAAAATCACCCCTTGATCATAGCAAAGAAGAATACGTATATGTATCCTGTATTTTTGTATGTTGATATGTACATATATATATATACATGTATGGAGTGTAGTGTACGTACATATATTCATATATATATATATATAGATACACACGCCCACCCTCGCGTACCTTTTCCGGGCAGGTGGTTCATCCGCTTCTGAGCTTCGACCCGGTTCGGGTGGAGGCGGCCGAGGCAGGTACCACAGGTCTCAAGATGAGTGGCTCGGCTGGAAAGTCGAGTTTTGGGTTCGGGGGTTTCATGGCTTATGGCGCTTAAGATTGTCGGCTGTATGGCCTTTACAAGTTGAGGCTGTGCGTCGAGGTTGTTTAGTTTGAAGCAGCCGGTGGCTGCAATCACGCGCACGATCGAACTTTTATCATGTCTTTGGACAGGTGGGGCTGCAGTTTCATTCCCTCGAATAACCGCGTGCCTTGTGTTTGTTCTCCTTTTCCTGGATGTGCTCACACTGTCTAGTGAGATCTATCCTCCCACATGATTGCTTGTGTGATGCCTAGTGTTAGGTGATCATGGCGGTTGTTGGTGGTGGCGGTTGGTGGTGGTAGTGGTTTTGGCAGTGGCGGTGTTGGTTGTCGTTGTTTTGGCAGCTGATGATGGTAATTTTGATGTAGGTGATTGCGACGCATGGCGACTACGGGGTAGCCTGCTACACACAATGGGCCTCGTGGACCCAGGCGCTTATATTGCAGATATGGAGCACGGCAAGGGAGTTGCTTGACAGCATTTTGAGTTAACGGTGTATGGGATTGTTGCCTGGAGACAGCGCAGATAGGACTGGCTGGAGAGCTTGCAACCAGCCCTGGAAAGGGTTCAGTCATGTTGAGGGATACTTCTTACTTCTTCTTACTACTACTACTACTACTACTACTACTTGTGAAACAATCCTACTATCATTATTCGTAGGTTGACTATTACTACTGCCAGCATTACTGTCGTAACCTGCGGCCGAGGTAAAGCTCAAATACCCTCTCGGCTTGGCGCCCTCAGGTGCTTTTAGCTATCTCGAAAAGCGGGAGGACGCTTGCTCCGACTTCCAGGGGTCTAGCGGCTAGTAGGGAACAAGGGAATAAAATATGATCCCCACCTAAGCCCTAAACCCTGAACCCCTAAACCCTAAACCCCATACAATCCCCATATATATTCCCTGCTAAGCCCCAGTAAGCCGATTGGAGTTGAGTCCAGGGCCGCTCTCATGAAGAACAATCCTTGCTGGGGTTTAGAGGAGGGTAAGAGAATGTTTATACAGGGATTATATTCCCTTATTCCCTCTTAGTCCGTACTAACTAGCAAAAATAATTTGAGCAAATGCAGCTGAGATTACAGTGCTGGATCTGCAGGAATTCAATGTGCTCTCGATCTTCAAGAGTCCTTACGCTCTCTTTGGCACCCTGGCAATCAGAACATGTGTGTGCCTGGCAGCTAGGGCAGTGAAGAAAATGCGCACTTTCCGTCAGCGCCTGTAGCCTACGTGTGGACTTAGGTCTTGTCAGCATGGGCGCGATGCTGTTCCTGCCGACCTTTGCCCGCAACAGCCAGTTTTCCCCGACAGCACAGGGTCACGACATCTGTTTCTGACCCACCTTGGCTCAACCCAACAGGGGCAACGGATGCCCGCGGGGTTTCAGAATGCGGAGTGATTTGGTGTGCTGGTATCAGGGACCCTCTGTAAGTGCAGCCACCGAGGAAACTCCAGTCCATGGTAGAGGAGGAGAAGGACAGTGCTCTCAAGATTTGGAGTCTCCCAGAACTTCTGATACTATTACACTTTTCAAATCTTTTACTGTTATTATAATTAGAACTACTCTTACTACTAGCACTATTATTCATTGCAGCCTGTGGCGTTTAGATCCCAGCTGCCCCGTGAGGGTGGTTGAATGAGTCGGGCTTCTTTACTGGATCCAAAAATGGGGGTTCCCCAATATTAGGGCCTCCTTTTTTGGGGTCCCCATAATAAGGACTATAGTATTTTGGGGTCTATATTGGGTTCCCCCTATTTTGCGAAATTACCAAATAAAAATCCTGTGAGGTCTCCTCCGACCTGTAGTGCTCCTTCAGCATTAAAGGGCCTTATAGGGGTTATATAGGGGTTATATACGGGTTAGGGTTTATGTGACCTTGGGCAGGAGAGGCAGCAACAAGAAATTCAGCAGCCGAGATCGGAAAAGAGCAAGTCCTGGGCCCAGATTGAACAATAAATATAGGAGTTTCCCAAAATTAGGGGTACCTTTTTGGGGGTCCCAATAATAAGGACTCTAGTAGTTTGGGGTCTATATTGGGGTCTCCCTATTTTGGGAAATTACCATATACCATTGTCGCTGTTGTTCCTGCTGGCAGATCATGCTGATTATGGCGGCCTGTGCGGGGTCCAGAAAATTTCACATAACCTCCCCAAAAGGAAAGGACACGCGAAATGGTCTTGGAAAGACAGTAGTTTATCGTGTTAGTTACCGTTAGTTGCAATTGTCCTTGCCCAGGAAGCTGGAAGATTGATGCTGCATTGAGACCGTAGAGAGTCCTGACCGGGCGGCTTCTCCAATCTGGAGAGTGTTCTGCCCATCCAGCCCAAAGTTAGTGATGGTTGATGCGGCTGCCGCGCCAGTTGCACGAAAACTGCCGAGAAGCTTTAGGAAGCACGCCCAATCAAAAGCATGTACTGGTGCAGTTGCTTGCAGATCCTCTGATAAGCTTGCGAGAGCGAGCCAATGAAATTCAGGATGATCTGCTGCAGACAAAGCAGAGCAGCAGACGCGAAGACAAGGCTACTAGGCCTTTGGTACCCTGAAACAGATTCTGCTACTCTGATGAGCGATAAATCTCCACGTCGCACACCTGTTGATCAATTCAGGTCCCCCAAAGACTGGTCAGCGCGCTACGGCGCTTCAGCGCCCAACATCAAACATGCATCTTTGGAAGTATTCAGTTTACCGCAGCTAGAAACTTGCCTTTCGTTAGCTGGGAATGAAGGAAGGGGTCCGTATAGAAGGCCCCCAAATAACTACCCGTTATCGCAGCTTCAATTTTCTTTTCCATGCCTTCATTATTCCCAGCGAACCAGAGGTAAGAGAAGCCACAACTCCATTCTCATCCCAAAGCGCTGGATCCTTGGATGTCGCAGGGCCAGTTTTTCCTTCCAGGGGCCCGCAATCCTGGTCTCGGGACCCAAAGTTGCCGGCTGCAGATCGACACTTTAGCGTACAGACTGCGCCTGGCGTGGAACGTCAACCTGACGCCAATGCCGGCCCCTCATGTTGGGGATAGCGAGCAGGCTACAAGCAGCAAATGCGTACTCACGCTCCCCAACGTATGCGCTTGCTTCAGATCACCCATAATGCTGTGGAAAGAACCCGATTGCAGTCGAGTGGAGCCGAGAGGGCCAAAAAGCATCGCATGCAACACCATTCATTGCTGTGCTGCAGCCGCGCACTCCTGGCAGACTTTGTGCATCACATCTTGATTGCACAACTTTGGCAGATCAGAGACGCGCGCGACGCGTGTCTCACTGGTCCGTGTGAGCCTCAGAGTCCTGGATCAACCACTGCAACACATCAGCTATTGCATCACGAAAGTGAAGGTTTGCATGCCAGTCTCGCAAGAAGATGTGTCTTTCCATCGTCCACGGCTAAAGCTGCAGCTTTCGAGCTGAAAGCTTCAGGTCTGGTGTCACGCTGAAGATGTGGATCGACCGCCGAATTGGTGGAGAGATCGCAACATGGCGAGCAGGAGGAAGGCGTGGCCGCGGTGTGGCATATGTTCGCGAGGGGGAGGGGCTTGATTTTGCATTGGCTTCCACTCCACAGGCGAATCAAAATCTTTCTCGGAGCATCCATCATAATGCTTCTGTGCTTGTACCCTGTTGACAGGGCACGCGATGTGTCCATTGGTCGGCAGCTTATCCACGTGCTGCCCCATCTCTTGGCGAGTCCTGCCCACCTCTTGCCGTGCGTCAGGCTTGCGGGAAATCTGGGGTGATGAGGCGTCAGTGTTGGCCTCAGGACAAACAACTGGGCAAAGAGCTGCATAGGTCAAACAACACCTGAAGTTAGGCCTCTCTTTGCTTGGTGTTCTTGTTTGCTGTGGTTATCTGGTCCTTGTCGCGTCCTTTGCTTTCTCTTTCCTGTCGTCTGCCGTTTGCTTTTGCTTTTTGGAGTTTGGTTCTCGTCTTCGTTTGGTTTATGCGCATGGGTGGGTGCTACAGTCATGAGCCACTGTCAATATTAGGGTTGCCAAGGGACCATTAAGAGTGGATACAGGGAGGACTCTTGTAGTCTAGTATACTCCTTAATATATGCCACTAATAGGAGGCCATGTCCACGAATTAGTCCACGAATTATATAGGGTAAGAGTGAACTATTTGCGTTATAGGTCAACGGGAATTAATGTGGCGGGAAGTCATGGAAAGTTCTCAAACCCTAAACCCTAAACATCTCAAACCCTAAACCCTAAACCCCTAAACCCTAAACCCCCAAAGCCTAAACCCTAAACCCCAAACCGAGGCTGCTAACCTCGAGGAGGCTTCGTGGCAAGCCGTCTTGCGCCGTTTCAGATGGGCTGTAGTCTAAGCTCCTAAGAGGGGGTTATATCATGGATTATGTAGGGGAGTAGCATAGGGGTCACTAAGGGGGATACTAGGAGTTTAGACAATGGCTCAGATGCTATTGTCCTTGTGGCATTTTTCTCCTTCTGTTCATTGGCTTGCCCACCGGTACTGCTTCTCAGGCATGGGAATGGAATGCCATTGCTCAAGTCATGGTCCAGAGTAGGATGCCAGGAAGGGGCAAAGCTGCAAAACAGCGCCTTTTAGCACGCAGCACGCAGTATGCTTCAGAGTAAGTCTTGCCGAAGGATAAACGATTCTCTTTAGGTGTGGGACTGGCTCACTTGTCGACAGCCAGTTGGCTGTAGAGCCATGTCGGACGAGTACCGGTTTCGCGTCAACAACCCCGTCATCGCCAAGGAGACGCGCTATTTGCGGCAATCCAGTCACTGCGCATGCGCTGCCACAAGAACAAGCTTGCTTTGCAGTCTTCCAGGGTGGTCCTTGCTGGTCAGGATGATGTGGGCAGGGCCAAGCACAGCAGCAGCTACGACAGCACTTCAGACCTCGGATGGATAGGTGTGTTGCCTGAAAGGGGCCAGCAGCGCATCAGTCTCAAAGTGCAGCACTACGCCCTTTTGCTGCAGCATTCAGGCTACACCCTGCCTCCAAACAATCACGCCTACGGCCGTGCTTGCTTTCGAGATCCTGAAGGCATGAAGTACAAGACGTTTTCCTCATCAGATGGCACAGAGATGTGGCAGCTGTGCCAGGTGCCCGAGAAGTGCTGAGCATGTGGGTCCCTCACAATCCAACAGCCGCACCACAGGATTTGGCACAGGACTGCCCATGGGGTTGCGCTATTTGCTACAGGGTATTTTTTAGGATTCATGGTCGAAGGACTTCCGCGCCATCAACAAGAGTGCGGCAAAGAAGGGTGTCCGGTATCACGGCAGCAAGGGTGCAGCTTTTTCTAGATGTGGGGAAGATCTTGGAAGGTTTCGATGCATCACATGTCTGTGAAGGAATGTCAAGCAAATGAATGCGTTTCGCAGAGCCGTGGACATCAGGCGGGATGGCAGAGTTTCCTTTGCTTGGAGAAAGAGAGAGACCCTCTTGCAGGCTGCATCCCCGAGCGCCTGATGGTACAAGACGCCCGCTGCGAGATGCTGTTGATACAGACGTGCCGTGCTTGAGAAAGAGATTAGCTTGTTAATGTACTGTTGTAGTTATTGCTAGAACAGCATGATTATCAGTACCATTGCTATGTATCGTTGCTGTTTGTACTGCTAGTTGAGAGATTCTTGCCCAGAATTTCTCAAGTCCTCAAAGCCGATCCAGTGAGGCAACCTACGGAAGGGCCAACCTTCCTTCAACACCGATGCAAGACGTGCTGGGTGCTGAGCATTCGACTGTAATGAGGCATTTTTTCTATCAGATAGGTCTTGCTATGTGTGATAATGAGACTGCGAAGCAAGATGTCCGGTCATAATGATAGTAAAGACTACAGACGACCGATTTGGAGACCTTCATCAAGAAGAACAATTTTTTCTTCCACATGAAGTTCTTGCCAAGCTACCTGTAGGCAATAACTTTAGAATCGCCTTCCAGCGCATCTGTGAACCTCCAAAGTACCTGTGATGGCTACCAAGGTTGAAAGGTGCCTTCGCATCAGAGTTTCAGTCGGAGCTTAGCGCGCGCTACGAGGCCTACGCCGAATTGAACGCACCTTTCAGCTGCACACAGACATGGAGCTTCTGAAGTCTCCCTGGATTCTAGATTATGCGTATGATTCTCTTTTCTCGAATCCTAGGAAACTGTAAGCCATCATTCTTGAAATAGCTGCAGATCAAAGACTTTCGTTGCGGTCTTTGAATCGAGGAGGGTTGCAGCTCAACCGCCTGAAGAGTGCTTTGTGTGCTAAGGCCGGTGATGCCCCCGGTGGGAAGCATCGCATCCGGACCACGAAGGCAGGTCCGTATTTCTTGGCGCACAGCCGCGATTGAAAGTAGTGGTAGTGTCAGATGCCACCCACCATAGAGCAAGGTTGAGAGACGCGGTTGAGAACCACGTTGGGGTTCTGCCAACGCTGTGACAGGCACAAAGTCTTCGCGTACACAGCGCGCGTCAAAGGACGATGGATCCCAAGCCGTTGCGACCTGTTCGGGATCCCTTTAAGCAGGGCCCTCAGGCCTGGGTATTGGAGAAGTGGTGATGCCTTACATGGAGGCCTGGGAAGCATGGTTTTTTCCAGCCGCGTGTTAGACTTTGAAACATGATGAGGCTTGTCTCCCCTCGCCCGCAGCCTCTATCCGCTCGAGAGGCTATTCTTAGCAGCTGATGTATTGCTGTGGTGCGTCCTCAACCAACACAGCTGTCCTGTATCAAGTTTTTGAAAGTTTGATGGAGGCAGTCACGTTTTTGAAATGCTGCCATCCGTGGCAGACTTGGAAAAGTTTCTGCGGCTACATGACCTTAGTGCGAGGCGCGAAGCGCCGTCAACGCCGTTGCGGACGAGCAGATCGAGGCACAAGAGTAGTACGCATAGCAAGAAGAGTCCATTTTCACTTTCATTCTGAGTAGTACTATAGCACCAGCAGCTCATCAGCAGCAACACATGCGCTGACAAGATATTATCAGTGCTGACTCTTGTAGAGGCCTTCTTCCTCACCACCACCCACCGCCACCCGCCACCCGCACCCACCACCACCACCGCCCGCCACCGCCACCGCCA